AGATTCATCTCGATGAGCTCTACAACTTCAATTAGAGGCCCAAAAGTGATTAACTTAGTACGAAAAAAAGTTTTAGATAAAAGCAGCTTATATTTTAAAAACCTTAATTTCTATATATAAACTGCATCACATTACACTATGAGCTTTCTCTGGTTGAGTAGTGAATCACCAATTAAATAAAGAAAAAAATAATTAGAATGATTTTAAAAAATATTTCAAATTAACAAATCATATGCTATAAGATTTTGTTGTATTAATACAATATTTCTATATAAAAGATACCAACTTTTCTTTAAGATAATATACATGAACATTTTTATCTTGTCAAAACATTACTGATACTATTTAGATGCTCTCGTATAAACAATTTTAAGAAATCTAATAAAAAAACCAAATCACCCTTTGAATATAACCTAAGTACAGATTATTTTTAGATCAATACTCTTCTTATCTCTGTTTCTATCAAAGTAAATAAAACTGGTATTGGCTTTTCTGTATTCATGAAGATGGCTCCTATTCAGTATAAAGTAAACAGTAAAGAACAGAATAAATATATTAAATAGCAGTTGATTAATATCAAGAGCACTTTCAATCCTATCTATAACATAAACGAATCTAATAAAAAAATTTGCTTCTTATACAGTATTCTTGATCATAGTAAAATCAAATTAACTAAAATTTTGTTTAATAATTTAATTAGTTTAAATAGATTTAAAAAACATGAAATTTATATTAATACAAAACATTATTATTTCGCTGAAACAGAAGAACAATGGCATTTTACTCGATCTGCACCTTCATTTATAGCTACTATATGGTTTTTTAAAACTGCATTTAGATTTGATAAAGTTACAAAAATAGAAAACATTACGTTTGAATATACTATTGAGTATAAAGAATTAGTACCTGAAACAAATATACCAGATAATGAACCAGATTATGATCACTCTATGTATTTTAAAAACAGAGAGATAGTATTCGAAAATTATAAGAAATTTAACACCTGATATAGTAATAATAAATTTATAGATAGTTAATATGAGCTTTACAAATATGTCTATATAAAATAGATGTAATACTATCTTTTTATAAAATATTAACCTTTTTGAAATAAAAAATAAAACTACTTGATCCAAGTGCTTATATAGTAAATCATTATTAATTGCCCTGTATTATCTAATAAAATCATTATTTGTTTATAATATATCGGATAGATGAAAAGTTTCTAAACACTATATATATAGTATATATAAAATTTTATTTAATTACATTCTTCTCAACAATCACTTGTACCAAACTTACAACTAACAAAAATGGAAAACTTGTTGGAGAAAGTAGAAAAGACAACTACAAGTAACAGTTTTTACAGAGATCAAGGCTATTTCTGGATCTCTGCTGGACTCCTTTGTATATTCAGCAAGCAAGTTAAAAGCATTCTTGTACAAGATAACTAGCA